ACTAGCCATGTAATGCCATTTTACAAAACAGGACCAAAATCCTACCCCTCAGCAGCAAGCACTCTGATCTTGTCATTGGAAATTATTTCCAGGAACTTGTTTTCAAACGCATGTTAATTACTTTCTCGACATCAAGCTGCTCTCCAAACATCAGTCGAGATTCGTGCCAAGGAATTATACTACACAGTAACTCATAAATTTATAACAAAGCTTGATATCCGTAGATACCTTTGAATGGTATTCCTAAGGCCATTACGGCAGAGAGTATGGCACAAAGGACAGTTACATAAAGTGGGACCAATGATGAATTACTGGTAAATTATCAGCGTGATACCGCAGTTATCTGTCAGATCGTCGTCAAATAGGTTTGGTGAATGATAGTTTATCCAGTAGCAAATCCACACCAAAGCAGGAGTCCACACAATGGTCTGTATTTGAAGGTCTACGTTCTGCTTCTAGTTTACATAAATAACATAACTGACCGGCTTCAAACTATCACAGGTTATTCGCTGATGATTTGCACATAATAACGACATCTACTGGCATGGTAGGACTAAACCCAAGACCACCTCTCCTACATCTAAAAGCCTCCGCCACAAAATCCTTACACAAATAAAATACAAGTATAATAACAAAATATAAACACCAGCATCCGAATCATACCATGATCTATCATCAGACCGCGCAGCAGATCTTTTCATAAGACCCATAACGGCATGATCTGTCATACAGACCCTGAAATAAATAGTTCGAAGAACTTGTTGAGCAAATCTAGAATGTGTCCCACTTCTAAAACAATGTCTCTGAAGCTCCTTTTTCATTATGTTTTCATGATTATGATTTAGGGACCGATATTTCTGTAAAAATATGGTTGTTTCATAGACTATAGGTTGTTATAAAGCTTGCTTTAGGTCGCTATGCTTGTGCAGGGCCAAGTCTGCACAACAAGTTTATGTGGGCGTAGAATCCCTACCAGTACAAGTCTGTTTACTGGTATCTTGAATGGAGAGAATTTTGAAAATCGACCAGCGATTATTAATGATTTCTTTGGTGGAACTAGTGACTGCATTGTGAAATGGAATAATGCACAGTTCTTTAATTTGGCAATTTGCCGTTACATGAGACTATTTGCTCATTGCAGCCATACTAGAAATCTAAGGACAGTACGCATTAGAATGCGTGTATATACACAATAAGGCGATGTGTATGTTACAGTTAACGAAGACTAAAGTGATTTGTAAGGAATGATGACTTAGGATTGTATAGAATAGAAGTGATCAGTTTCAGGAAAGGTAAATTTTTATTTGAAAACTTCGTTTTCATTTGGCTATTCCGCAATTCTTGCTTTTACCATGTATCGGTCAGGGAATCGGTTACTAACATTTATATTGGTTCTATCATTTAGGTTGCCAGATATGTAAGAAGAAGCCCAATATACATTCGCTTGTCACTGCTGTTGTTGATGCAGATCATCCACATATAATAACAATAATCTGTAACGGGCTGCTTGCCCATTGCAGGTAGATACGGCTACAGGTGCAGCTCACCAGTGTATTTAATGTCACTTGTCTGTTATTGAATGCAGATCATTCACATATATAATATATTACAGGCAGCTGCCCAGCAGGTAGATACGGCTACAGAATTGCAGCTACCAGCGTCACTGTCTGTTGTTGATGCAGATCATTCACATATACCTATATATTACAGGCAGCTGCCGAGCAGGTAGTTGTTCGGCTACAGGTGCAGCTGCCAGTGTCACTGTCTGTTGTTGATGCAGATCATTCACATATATAATATATTACAGGCAGCTGCCCAGCAAGGTAGATACGGCTACAGGTGCAGCTACCAGCTGTCATCTTTATCTGTTGTTGATACAGATCATTCATATATAATATATTACAGACACCTGCTCAGTATGATACATACGGCTACAGGTGCAGCTACCAGTGTCACTGTCTGTTGTTGATGCAGATCATTCACATATATAATATATTACGAACTGCCTGCTCAGTATGTACATACGGCTACAGGTGCAGCTACTGAGTGTCACTGTCTGTTGTTGATGCAGATCATTCACATATATAATATGTTACAGGCAGCTGCCCGGCAGGTAGATACGGCTACGGGTGCAGCTACCAGCGTCACTGTCTGTTGTTGATACAGATCATTCCACATATATAATATATTACAGGCAGCTGCTCTGTGGTGGGTAAATTCGGCTACAGGTGCAGCTGCCAGTGTCACTGTCTGTTGTTGATGCAGATCATTCACATATATATAATATATTACAGGCAGCTGTCCAACAGGCTACATGCGGCAACAGGTATGTGCTGTCTATCAGGTGTCACTGTCCACCAGCCAAGCAGCTACCTACTTCTGGTTGTCAGCCTGCAAGTTGTTCCAGGGGATGGTCCAGGGCACCGGACTTATCGAAAGGTAAGAAAAGGAGATTTAGATTAAAAAAGATTTCGTTCACTGCACTTGCTACAGTTTACATTTGCTTGTAGAATGCATGAAATATATCTGAGTACACAGTCGTTGAGGAGTCTACATGTTTGTACTTTTGGAGTGGACTGTTGATCTGGAAACAGACCAGAAAACAGGTGCTGACATGTTCACTCTGTTCAGAACATTACCCACATACAAACGGTGTCGCTCTAATAGCTACTTGCTTACATTACCATAACATGATATTAATGATGATGTTAGGGTCCCCTGTATTGTATGTTACAGAAAATGTCGCCCTCGACAAAACAACATCATCAGTAGTTTCTATTACTCATCATCCAACGCTATTGTCAACGGAGACATGAGAGGAATGATGAAACCAGATGTTTTCATTCTGCTTTCAATGACGACAATATAGCATCTGCCCTGGTGGAGAATTGGATCTTGGAAAGGACACAATGGTACATGACGTCATCATCTACTTCAGGACGGATTGTAAGTATTACGCCAGGCGTATTACACTTGTTGACTTGGTTGTTCACGAACCTGTTTCGACTGTCACTGTTGTCAGCGTGTAAGGTTGACTGTATGTCCCTATTGTCATAAAACTCGGTGACCTCAGCCTGTTAATCTCCATTCGAGCATCAGTTCTGAAATTCAGAAGATGCTGTGGGGGAGGTGGGGAGGTGTGTGTGTGTGTGTGTGTTATTGTGATGATGTTGTTATTGTGTGTGTGAGAGAGTGAGTGTGTGTGTTGTGTGTGTGAGGGAGGAAGTGTGTGTAATATTCCTGGGGTGTAATCAGTTCCGGACAACCGCATGGTAACGATAACTTAATCCCCTTCTGGGAAACACGCTGCATTTGAACATGTGCGGACGAAAATGTGCAGATTGGCGGATGGATCGACCTTCCGACCTTTGTATTTGCTGTCGAATTAGTGGCTTCAGGTGTGCTCATTTATCGGGTTGGCTTATCGAAAGTTTGAAAAAGAATAGCCCTTGGAATCGGGATTAAATTCTCATGTAAACGAGGCTTGGTACACCTTTCTATACATTATAAGTGTTCTTGATAACTACTCAAGAGCTCTAAATAAAAACACCAGAATCGAGATAATCACTTGAAACTAGAGAGTTAATGTAGAGAAAATGAGTCGCCGAATAATATTTGTCTGAGCTTTCCTGGCGTCTACTTGTCCGTTGTCACTACCAATCAGCGCCAAAACTACTGAAGTTAACATCCACTTTTTCTCGCCTTTATGTGTGTCACTTCAATATTCGGTTCAAAGACTTAATATGTGTCTGGAACATGAATGCAGGACAAATTATTGTCTTTAGTCAAACTGTTGATCTTAGACATCTGCAATACCCATAGATATATAAGACATGTTAAGATCACTAAAGCTACTAACACTTAGGTGGATAATGTTGTGTTGAGATCCGTGCCAGCTTCCCCAGAAATGTGCCAGTTCTAATCCCCATGTTCACATGTAACAGATAAAGTTCGTCGGAATGGTATCCAGATCTACATAGCTGACTGCCGCCTCCCCAACTGGTGGAGTCAACTGCTACAACGTGATAGGGCTCACAGACGGGACAGGCATACCTGATGTTTGACGGCCACGTGTTCTGGTGAAGGAGCGCTACCTGGTCCTGTACACCACCACTGTCAACAACGAAAAGAACACTGTGAACGTACCTATCATGGATTTCTGTGAAGTGGAAGTTGAAGGTGGGAACACTGATGTTACTCTTTACTCCTAAAAATACGGATACAGGTGTGATGCTTAAATGACTTGACGTTGAACAACAAAGAACACAACGTAACGTTTGGATGTGAATTTCCCCCTGGGGTTGCTGTAAAATCGCTTGGTTGTTGTGGTTGCAATAACTGTCACAGTTGTTGATAATGTTACGTTGCTGGATTCAGTACACATCACATGCGTTTATTAAGTAATATTATATTTTCAGTGTAAACATGCATGGTCTTCACTTTAATGTTTGTTTTCAGCATGCACGATAGTCTTAACGTAGATGCTGGGAAGATGATCAGTACCCATGATCGGTAATTCCTTTAATGTTTTTGTTGGACATAGCAGGGATTGCCACTCATTTACGAAGATGATCAGCGAACGTATCTTTGCTGTATTCTGTAGAATATCCTTCTTCCTATATTCCCATCTTTGTTAAATGTTAAATGTTTTTGATATCTTGCATCTTTTAAGTGTGTGCTCCTGGTACTTTCGGTGCTGACTGTGACAACTACTGCCACTGTGACGGCGAGATTGTGTGCAACTACGTAACCGGCGTCTGTCAAGTAGAGTCTGTCTACCTGGCTGGCGAACAGACAAGTGTGACACAGGTTTGTTGTTACAGGTCTTTAAAAGTTAAACTATCAATACAGTTGATGACAATTTTCTGAGTATTTTGTATAAAGTAAACTAAAAGTGAAAGTGAATAAGTAGTAATGGAGAAAATAAACGGTGTGGATGTGCTTGTTTCAGTTTGCGGTGTTGGCAGCTATGGAACAAGCTGTATCAAGGTCTGCTCAGACAGACACTGCAAGGGCGACAACTCTAGCTGTGACCCGTGACAGGACAGTGTGTTGGCGGCTGTGAGGCAGGAGTGGAATGGAACAGACTGTACTGAGAGTAAGAAGAATTGCTGACAGAGATGATCCTAAAATGCTCTCTCATACCTCATACTCTTCTGAGAAAACAAAAATGTGTTATTGCCTGATGATTTATTGAAATATTGATTAAGATATATTCCTGTTCTTGTTTTGCGCCTCGAGGGATATACACACTATTCCAGTTGATAAGCATGACATACAGTTTAAACTGACACTCAGACAACAGACAGTCGTCTGTGTGATTGCTCAAATAATATTTTTGTTTGTTTCAATGTTTTTGCTTTGTGTTTAAGGGACGGATGGGGGTGAGAGAGGCACGAAAATAGATTTATATATCACTAGATGATGAAATACCTGTGAGTGACTGTGTAAATGTGATGTATACACAAAATGGCCCACGTTCACGTCAGGTTAAGTTTCAAGTGATCCTGTGCTGGTTACGAGGTTGCAGTCGCGGCTCACGTGGCCTGTCGTTTAAGCATGTTAAACTTTGTCGATTGCTTATTGAAGTTTACTCAGTGAAGATATGGGTTAGAGATTGATTTTCAGCAACCCATACTTGTCGTCAGAGGCGGCGAACAGGTGGCCCAGGCTTGCTGTCTTGTTTGTGAACATGTCATCGTGTGCACATTTTGCATACATCGATGCTCATGCTGTTGATCATCTGGTCCCGATTCATTTATTTACTTATACCGACACTATATACCTGGAAAAGTGCTGAGTGCAGCGTAAGACAAGAAGTATATTGAAGCATGCAGTTGATCTGTCTCTGTCTATAACTTCTACGTGCAATACTTCATTCACTGGCGCAGTGGCTTCTGCCACTGTCATTGGATCAAAACAATATATTCTAGATTACCGATCACAGCTCAAATTTCACAGCCGAAGCAAACATCATCTTAACAGCCGTAAAATGCATTTTTTAAAAACTCTAAATAGAAACAATATATAATCTTTTTCAGACTCTTTTCGTGCTTTCAGGCTATTAAATATCTTTTTGCAAGCATCATTTTAATTGAAAGTATTCAATCATATAATGATCTTGCTACTGGCTAACCACAACATCGTCTTTTCTTGGTTACACAGCCACGTTGGCATTTCTAGGAACACAATGGATGGTCTTGCTGCCAAGGTAGCACTCCACAAATCATACCCCATACTCTTGTTATAGAGCTATCATCGGATCTTATATACGTGACCTGTTGCAGGAGAAGTAAAGACACCCAAGCAGGTATCAATAAATTACATGAAATAAAGCCCTATATTGATTCCAGATTTTAGTAGGTCATTGTACTTATTGAAAGGTAAAGGATCCTCCGTTCTTTATCCCTTGTCGTACTTGACTTCATTGATTTTCCATGACAAAGGGATAAATATTTTAATGTCAAAACATTGCAGGATATTTTTTATAATGCTAATTACCATTTTATCATTGAATATTTAAAAGAGATAGAATTGACTGACAAATTTTGATTAATATGTTTTATGATTGATAGTTTAGATTAGTAACTGAAGAGGTTGTTAGTGGCTGTGTATCCTCAAAGGGGTTAAAGTACTGTAAACTTCTTGTTCTCCTAGAGGAACGTAAGTCCCAAAACATTCAAGGTAGATTTAAACCTACCACATTATGTAATCGTAGGATATATGTTATTTTAATTTATGGTTAGATTAGTCTACAATCGCCAACATCTGAAGGGATGGTGTAAATCCAACTAGGGTCCATGCAGGTAGCAAAGGTACTGTAAGTCCCCATGGTCCCTGGTATGGTGATCTACCTTCAGTTGTTGGCGATCTATAGCACATTTTACACTGTTTTGTCCTAATTTGAAATCAAATTTTAAAGAGAGGCTAGTTGTATTTCTTGATACTGTGATATTCTAGTTGGTTTTAATTCTTTTCCTGCTCACCTGCATCATGTTATGCACAGTAGGTTTTACCAACACACGTGCACATTGATTGTACCGACTTTTCTGCTAACCGAAAGAATAAAACAGCAACCTTACTGGTATATGCTGGGATATTGCACTCATTTCTCATTCTTTTACGGACAAGTTTCTACCATGTACAGTTTCTCTATTGAGTGAGCCCGATCACGTGACCACGAAACCACGTATGAACGATACATTTTATGTTCATATATTTTCCACAGACTTGTTCTTGAAATGACCTAAACATAAACATAACACAACGCAGGGCATAAACATAAAGGATTTTTATGTTGTATCCCGCTGAAGACTACTGGGTGAGTAGATCAGACGTGCAGACGTTCTCTAATAAACTACAACTTACATTAGACGCTCATAGTCTTGCCTGTGTACAGCTTGTGATCAAGGTATGGAATACGGGGTTGGGTGTCTCAAAACCTGCGGTACCCGGATGTGCCAGGGGAGATACAAGCACCTGTCCCTGGGATACAGGACGGTGTACAGATGGATGTCAGGCAGGATGGAAGGGAGGAAGACTGCACTACAGGTAACAGACATCAGAAAGTGTCATACTTCACTGAATTTATGTCTTACTGCGGGCCACCATCTTGATTAGACAGAACACATGACGACAACCATATTTTACAGCCTGTGTCCAAATTATATGGAATATGGAGTTGGATGTGCCAGAGCCAAGAGCTGCAGTACCCGGATGTGCCAAGGAGATGGGAGCACCTGTCCTGGGATACAGGACTGGTGTACCAGATGGATCGAGGCAGGATGGAAGGAGGAAGACTGCACTACAGGTAACAGACATCAGAAAGTGTCATATTTCACTGAATTTATGTCTTACTGAAGACACCATCTTGATTAGACAGAACACATGCTGACGACAACCATATTTTACAGCCTGTGTCCAAAGTATGGAATATGGAGTTGGATGTGCCAAGAGCTGCAGTACCCGGATGTGCCAGGGAGATACAAGCACCTGTCCCTGGATACAGGACGGTGTACAGCTGGATGTCGAGCAGGGTGGAAGGGGAAGACTGCACTACAGGTAACAGATATCAGAAAGTGTCATACTTCACTGGCTGTATGAAATATCGGTATGTCTGCCTACACATATTGACACCAATATGTATCACATTTCCCTTATGTCCAATAATATTATCATTTTGAATTGATTGCATTTTGTCTGCTTCTGGCCTTGGTGTTGCCACTCGTGCTCTACGTGATTATCTTGCTGATGTTTTCTGATAGCTGATGGATGGCAAGATTACATCTCTTTACGCTTGCAGTCCTCATTGGCATGCCAGCATTGTAGAGTTGTCAGTTGAGGATGCCCCATATTTGCTTATCAACAAAGTGAATCAATTGATTTTCAAAGATATCGAGCTGTGAAAACAGATTACAGAAACTTGATATTTGCTGAATGTCAGGTACCCGTATTTCATGTCATGCTTGTCTTATGGGAATGTGTTTTTGTTAACTATAATGTTTCATTAATCAACTTTTAGTTATTATAGGTCACAAAAGTTTAAAAGCGCTGAGTGTGGATTTGAACTCACACCTTGCATTGAACTTAGGCTGTGTATTTTCACCTGTTAAGAGTAAGCTGAGAAGTTTCCTCCTTTGTTTGTTTCGCTTCCGGTGTCTTCGGTGGGACTCTGGAAGCTCTGAGCAGATGGTGGTGTTGCACAGCTTTTTGTCAGAACACTCTAGAACTGTATAATAGGTATATAAGGGATGGTTGCTGGTGATGTATGACGGAGCGAATTTGGATTTACTCTCATCTGTCTGCTATCATCGACGTATCACACTCATTCTCACTCACACTTGTGACAATGGAAATCTTTTTTTTTTTATCTGAACGCAATTTCTTCGATATGGCAACGACAAGTATTATTTACGTGGCCTATGTACAGAATGATAGCATACAATGTCTTATGGGTTTTTTATAAACGGCAGTTACTATCAGCTAGAGGGGATATTTTCTAGTGTATTATACGTCACACAAAATTTAATGTTAGATATATGTAAAACTATAGTACAACTTGTTTTAATTGTTTGCTAAGTTCCTTTAACAAACTAGAGTTAATTTCAAGGCAAATAAATTAAAAGATTAATCAGATGTTATATAGAATCTGACCGTTATATTGACAATTGGTGAAACTTCAAACAAGAATTTCCAAATAGGTTCTCTAGTTCATCTAAAGTAATATTGAATGCCTGACACTGGCATTTCTATAGCTATAAGCAACGTCAAGGAGTTATGCGACCTGGGAATATATTTATTGCTCCATAATGGTTATCAAATGTATCACTGTAAGGTAATAAACATTTAATACAACTGTAACGTAAAATACAGTCAAACATTATGGCTGCAGTTTTTGTCATTTTCAGAACACTGCAAATACAAATACATTAATTACATATCTTTAACAAATGTTGGATTAGATAGGCAGTTATGTTCATATAGCGCCAGTACAATCTAATTGTATTTTACGTCACAGCAACTGTATTTTACGTTACGAATTCCATATGGTAATTTCAGTATGTTTTTCATTACCGAGCATGATCATACATGGTACTTCTCATTAGAATGTCTTCATTACATGCATTGATAAACGTTTAACAGTTTGACTTGTACACATACACAAGAGTCAAGGTTGAAAGTTCAGTACGTACATACCAGTGTTTTAACCCGCCAGAGCTTCAGATCATGAGCAACAAGCACATTGGAAGCAACATCAAAGACGCAACGTGAATAGCGTCAAATTTGATACTGGGGTAATGTGATGTTAGATAGCCATATATGGAACTGTAGCGTAAAATACCATAACGTAGAATACGTAACGTAAAATACATCATTGATGTATAGATGTGCTCAGGATATGTAAATGGTCTTAAAACGTCGTAAGATGTACTGTATATGCATTGTATCTTCCCAGCATATTTATAGTTTAACAAGTTATTACAACAAGTGGATTTGATGTTGAGTGTCTTCAATAAAACCTGAGCGATTACGTTCTTAAAGTTACTAAATGAATTCGTTTTCTCTTTTGATGTTGTTTTCTTTCTTTTAGAGCATAACGTAAAATAATAGAATTGGCTACAGTGGAATTTCATTAAAATTTGACTAATATTTTGACTATACCCTCAAATATTAGGTCAAATGACTACGTCACAGTCGAATGCAGCATGATATCTTCCACATGATGCGTGAAAAGATAACATTCACTATGACTTAAGTTATTTTGGATGCAACAAATATATACACCGTCGCTGGCGACATGCGACTTTTAACAAAAATGGTATGTTATACCCATCGTAATAATATATTTTTATGTATTATTGAAATGGTAATGGCGAATCAACACAAATACCCAATGTATCTTTATTTCTAAGCTTCCTTTTGTGAAGAATATTTTTGCAATCATGCGACAACGAAATAGAGTAAATGTGCATGTTTAGTGTGAATGCGTGATCAAGACCGACCACTCTACATGGAACTCTCAGCTGTCAACAAACATCAAGCAGTATATCTACAGGGAACAAGACGTTTGTGACTATAGACATTTAGTTGGTGATACAATTGTGTTGCATTTTACTGTCATACATTGTAATCTTGTTTTTCTTTATTCGATATATAATTGAATATTATAGACTCGTTTGTGTGTTATTTGGCTGGTTTAAAGGGGATTCACAAGCCTTTTGCCACGATAGTTTCTGAACCGTAACACTTGCATTTGATCGTAGCACGTGCACATCTAAAGTCAGTGTAAGAAATAATCATACAAACAAACATAATTATGATATGAATATCAATGGAATAAAAAGCATAAGAATCGAAGGATAACTGCACAACATAACGTAAAAGGATTCAGGCCGAGAGATGAGATCGGATGTTAGTCAGGGTAATGGGAGATGACAAAAAGCGATTCATGTTTCAATACTGTTTTGCATATGCGTCAAAATGTCAAAGAGACATTGAAAATTGAACATGCTTCCGTTTGATAGAACTGTACCTTGTGCAATACGAACTTTGTCCTGTGAATAACGTGTGTGTATAGTCTTGTTTTCTATACAACTTCTTCCAATGACAGCCTGCATACAAGGGGTGGAATATGGAGCTAAGTGTTCGGGTAACTGCAGTGCCCGGATGTGTGAGGGAGGGAATGCCACCTGTCCCCAGGATTCAGGCCGCTGTGAGAACGGATGCCAGTCAGGGTTTAAGGGAGAAGACTGCGCACAAGGTAATAACAACAGATGGAATTCTTTTCCTGCTCACGTGCATCATTGTGCACAGTAGGTTTTACCAAGACACGTGCACATTGATTGTACCGACTTTTCTGCTAACCGAAAGAATAAAACAGCAAACTTACTGGTATATGCTGGGATATTGCACTCATTTCTCATTCTTTTACGGAAAGTTTCTTCCATGTACAGTTTCTCTGTTGAGGTGAGCCCAATCACGTGACCACGAAACCACGTATGAACGATACATTTTATGTTCATATATTTTCCGCACACTTGTTCTTGAAATGACCTAAACATAACACAACGCAGGGCATAAACATAAAGGAGTTTTTATGTTGTATCCCGCTGAGACTACTGGGTGAGTCGATCCTTGCAGACGTTCTCAAATAGACTTACATTAGACGCTCATAGTATTGCCTGTGTACAGCCTGTGTTCAAGGTGTGGAATACGGGGTTGGGTGTCTCAGAACCTGCGGTACCCGGATGTGCCAGGGAGATACAAGCACCTGTCCCCTGGATACAGGACGGTGTACAGATGGATGTCAGGCAGGATGGAAGGGGGAAGACTGCACTACAGGTAACAGACATCAGAAAGTGTCATACTTCACTGAATTTATGTCCTACTGCAGATACCATTTTGATTAGACAGAAGACATACTTGACAACCATATTTTACAGCCTGTGTCCAAGGTATGGAATATGGAGTTGGATGTGCCAAGAACTGCAGTACCCGGATGTGCCAGGGAGATACAAGCACCTGTCCCCTGGATACAGGACGGTGTACAGATGGATGTCAGGCAGGATGGAAGAAGGAAGACTGCACTACAGGTAACAGACATCAGAAAGCATCATACTTCACTGAATTTATGTCTTACTGCAGACACCATTTTGATTAGACAGAACACATACTTGACAACCATATTTTACAGCCTGTGACCAAGGTATGGAATATGGAGTTGGATGTGCCAAGAACTGCAGTACCCGGATGTGCCAGGGAGATACAAGCACCTGTTCCCAGGATACAGGACGGTGTACAGATGGATGTCAGGCAGGATGGATAGGGGAAGACTGCACTACAGGTAACAGGCATCAGAAAGTGTCATACATCACTGGCTGTATGAAATATCGGTATGTCTGCTTACACATATTGACATCAATATGTATCCACGTTTCCCTTATGTCCAATAATATTATCATTTGAATTAATTGCATTTCGTCTGCTTCTGGCCCTGTAGTAGGTTCATTAGGCGATCCACGATTTTTACACTGTAAGATGTTTTTTCAAAGAAAATGGTGTGCCTTTATGTTACATGGATATCAGCTGTGGGCATACTTCAGCGATAAGCGCAAAGGATACCCAGACACTAAGACGCAACGTATATTTGTTTCAGGGTGTAGTCCTGGTACATATGGTGCCAACTGTTCTGGGACATGTGGACAGTGTCGTGATTTTAAGACCTGTCATCATCTCAGCGGTGCCTGTCCAGACGGATGCATTGACGGCTGGGCTGCGAACATCTGCACGGAAAGTAAGATACATTAATACTTTGAGTATATGTGTCCCGAGAACACATTTCTTCTTTCTCAAAGCGTTATTTTAAAAAAAAATGAAACACGCTTAGTGATTTTATTTTCAGTTCGTTATTTGAGGTCTACAAATACAACGTTTTACTTTAGCCATTTACTTTAGCCAACTTTTAAATTGCTGAAAGTGAAAGAATCTTAGAATTATTATCACAGAAAACTGCACATATCAATTCTAATCTTAATGTATTATTTTGGAAATATTTTATGGTGATTTGAAAAAAAAACCAGGTACAAATCAATAAGTTACTTGTTCAGGTTCAAAACATGCGTGTCCATGCCACATTCAGAAGAACACGATGCTGTTGGGTTTTTAATGTACTAACATGGAATTGAGATTCACTTGTCACTTATATTTGTATTACTTTTTCTGAAAAATACTGAGATTTCTATTTTTCGGACAAATAAATTACACATCCAAGTATGATACTTCCAATGCAATCAACTGAAAACTAAGATCAACATTTTGTACTTAACTGAACCTTTATAGTTATTAAAATATTTCCAAGCAATTCTACAATCTACATACGTATCCCAATTCTATCTAAAGGCTCACAAACTCTATTTCCTGTAGCCTAAATATTAGTTTTAGTTCTTTTAGGTTACAAGGTCAGTTTCATGACTCGTGTTTCCATAAACATTGGTTCATGTTAAATGCAGTAAATGCACGTGGGAGGCGCTTAAGCCGGCATGTGGAATCTATCGGACGCGTTTTGGCAGATATGAATGCTCTTGCAAGAGATGTTTCAATTTGTCGCCAAAGCTTATCTTTGTTCTTTATATTTCACGATGTCTTACTGTTTGAAGAATGAATATAAAGGAAAATGGCAAAATGCTGTTCAAAAAGAGTATGTGTTTTTATTTGTCATATTCCTTGAGGATGATATGTTACTGACTATAGTTATGAAGACTTGCAACAGTTGTAAGACTTATGTTTCTGTTTATCACATATTGATATTTCTCTGTTCTAGAAATCAGTAAGCCGTTGTCCGCTAGTCCTGCTGTTATAGCCGGTGTCGTTGTTGCTGCCATTGCTGTAGTCGCCATCGTTGCTCTTGTTGTCGTCCTCCTCAGGTGATGAACACTAACACCGCTACACGCAGTATCTGAGCATAAATACAATACAGAATGAAGGGCCCGCGTGGGCGTGAATGCCCAATGTTGTTCTGCACACTAGAATCTGACAATTGGGTGACAGGTGATGAAGCGGGCATAAAGTCTATCGTTTGAAAACTTGTAGAAAACTGTACGTTGGTACGTTAAGCTGAAATGCCCCTGGCATCGTCTGATTTGATCCAAAGCGTAAACATAAGCCTGTAACTATCATATCAGAATATCGAAACGTTCCATCGGTTCATTTTCATCGATTTACTTACCAAATTACCAATTCTTAACTCCCACAGGAAGTGCGCATCATCAATATTACACATTAGAATGTGATCTAAATGTAACAATGTTCATCATACACATGCAAATAAATATGAGATGTTAACGTAAACATAATTAACCCAAAATATATTTTCTTGATCAAAGGCGAAGGAGTCATCGGAAGCAGCCATACAATCACACCGAAATACACAAAGGTTCGTACAACCATTCGTCCGAAGAATTGTTGAATTTCTAAATGAAAGTTTTTCTTTCTTTTAGAAAGGATGTATTTAATTAAAATAACCAGCCTCAAATAGATGTCGCCATGGACTCGGATCTGTCTTAAAACTCTCCATAGTGTCAATATATACTGTATGACTATGCATAATTACCGATATGGATATTCTTATCATGTAATAGCTCAAATATTTGACACAGGAGTTGATAACTCAGCGCATTACTGTGGTAGTTTTTTGGCAATGATGGGTCTAATTTGAAACATTTGACAGGAACCTTTCATGAGGCCTTGAACTTTGCAATCTTCAAACTTTTGATCAAGAATCGTATGTGACGCTCTCCAACAACTTCTTGTAAGGATTAATCCCGATTGTTGCGCAACAGTTGCTACTACAAAGAATGCACATCTACTTATATAATTACTTCTCTGTATTGGATAGAGGACCCACTAGAAATGGGAGTGGACAACCCTGTGCCTGTCCTAGGGGAGGACGAGGACGATGTAGAGGAGGACCACAATGCCACGTACTACAACATAGCGAGAGCTCCTGTTGTGACGGTGGTGTCTGTAGATCAGCTGGGGGAACGGATCAAGGAGCTGCAGGTGCCCGTCGGGGGATTCCAGGCAGAGTTTCAGGTCAGTTGAATCAGGAATGTGTACATCAATCAAAAATAGATTTCAGATTCACGACACATTGCTCTTAAGCATATAGATATGTCATGTACACGTTTTCCAGATATGATATTCTTTTGTCATCTTACGACAAGAAATGCATTTGTATGACGATCACATTCATTTGTATTTGTCCATCCATCATAGTGTCATCAGCTGCATGGTCTCTTGTCCTGGGTCATGTAAACACCATATAGTATACACGGTGATTATCAACCATCATTTATCAATGTCAATGGGACTTAATATATAATAACCCACGGTTCCTTCATTAATCACAGAAGCTGCCCACCACCTTCACCCGGCCTTACAATGATTCACAGCTGGAGGAAAACAAAGGCAAAAACAAATACATAAGTTATTATCCATGTGAGTATATCAATTCTCTAATCATGCTTTAATTTAGTTTAATTTGATTTAACGGCCCTCGTGATATGTATCATGCCAACTCTGCAAAGTTGATCTTATGTATCAGATAAAAAAAGATTGAGATAGAAATGTAGCATGTGATGCAGTGTTCTGAATGTGGAAGTCAATTCTAAGTGACAACGTTATGTGTATTATATGCTGTAAGTGATAAGTAACATACGTGTTGATGTTTATCTTTACTTTTACTTATAGATGACCCAGTTCAAATAATTAAGACTTGTCCAACCCTCAGCTAACTTGACACTATTGTCTGACCAACCTTGACTGTGTTCTGTTGTGAACATTTCTTATTACGTAGGCTACTGACAGGGTAGGGCAGCTGGAAACAGTTAGTGATTTGTGGGTGTTTGCTCGTAAATGTCCATTCCATTAACTTTGGACAGTAATGCTGTAAAGGTATCGAAGTGTGCATAAGACTTCATTGTAGTCCATTACAACAATGCTTATATACACTACGTAATTCTTAGAGAATGCGTTCTCTGGCCCGTATTAGTGCATTGTATTGTTCAAAATACATCTATACTGACTACATAATCGTGGCCTTCATGAAAGAAGTATAAATATATGTATATTTTACCTTTCATTTCTATGAGTAACCATGTTGCTTGATGTTCAGCTCTCCCAAATAAAAGCAACAAATCCCTTTTCACGTCCACAAGAAATCCCCGTTAAATGAGAGTACAGTTCTGACTACGTCATGAGCTTGTGTTTATCAGTCTGAATCAAAAGGGGATGTTCTATCTGTAGCACCCGCCATTACCAAATAAACGTTGTTCACCTGAAATACACGGGAATGTATCGCCAAAATACGGAATTGCATCTAACATGATTTTGATGTCAAATAGATCTAACAACTGAGCAAGATTTATATGACGCTCTTTGACATCGTGTGAGCAGTTCAAACGGATATTGCTCAACATAAAAGGAAAGTTGATTATTGAAAATTGAAGTCACCCTTTTTGTCATACGTCCTTATGGAGAGCACAACCCTTATGTTATCCGTATTGTAGAGTCTCCTACATCACAGTCTCCTGTATTACAGATGATGCCACTCGGGTCGTATTGCAGGAACTGCCAGGCCAGCCTGGTTCCGACTACATCAACGCCAGCTACATCGATGTGAGTTGGATATCGCATTTCTTTAAGGAAATGATGATAATTGTCAAGTTTTGTTTACAGATGCTAATTGATGTTGGTGTTGTTGTTTCTGTTACTGTAGTGACTGTACTACATGTAGCTATATTTAATGTCATGTATTGTTTCAATAGGGATACTCTCAACCCAAAGCCTACATAGCAGCACAAGGTACGGTTACAAATGCTTACAGTCGTGTAATGATATATGCTTCTGCCCCCTTCTTCACTGTCAAGAGTCTATCCTTGAGCTTGATATGTCAAGGATCTGTCGTGATACTAACACTGGTCTTATGGTCCACCAATCATGTCATGGTCTATCCTGGTAGTTACAGCCATGTAACGATCTATCGCGATGCTAACAGCGGAGATATAATCTCTCCTACTTACACTATTTTAATGGTCTTCCCTGGTAGTCACAATGGTCTGTAGTTACAATGATTTGTCGTGATGCTAACGCTGATGCATGGTCTATCCTTCTAATTACACTCGTGTCATGGCCTGTCCTGATACTTTCGTCCCTGTCGTGATCTTTCCTGACACTCTCACTCGTCTTGCGGTCAACCCTGGTGCTTCTAACTTCGTTGTGATCAATCATATATCCGTGTCAATTACACTCATACTGTGTTCTATGCTAACGTTATATCCAGGTAGGGCTGTACGAGGGTACAATAAACCTGCGAGACATATTATATTTGGATTACACATCATGTGTAAAGTACAGATTCTAGTACTTTTGTTGGGTTGAATCCCATCAGGGATTCGAACCCACACCCTCAGAGTCTGGCACCTAATCGAAAGTACACAATGTCAGACGCCTGACCCACTCAGCCACCGCGGCTTCCACAAAATTGAAGTCGGACAACTGTAGTCTGCACTTTATCCATACAATGAACCAGGTAATCACTGTAACAACATATGATATTCCAGAACGAGAGGAACAAATATATTTATCTGTGATATGAAAGAGAGTTTAAGAATATTATACTTTAAATATTTTTCTACATGTGAAATTTCCCCGAATCAGAACTCTTAATGGGCACTCATGTGGTTAGGCCTTTGAATGCACGGGTTCTTTTTATAAACGAATTCTCAGTTTAAATTACTTATAACTTATACTTCGACATATAACTCATTGCTTGCCACATATCTAGCGGTACTCCTTTTACGCGGAGGAGTGATTTCCACAAAACAACATGACCTAACTTATCTTTCACCGACAGCTCCCAACAGGATGACCCTGACAGACTTCTGGAGGATGATCTGGGAACAGAACTGTACAAGAGTCGTCATGTTGACAAACCTGAAGGAGTTGGGAAGGGTCCGTCTCCAGATATCATTTATCAAATACATCAGCAATACAGACAACCAGCACATCATGCTGCTACCATTAACATGTCACGGTTTTGTAATCTCTGCTTACTTACATGTTATTCTTTGCGAAATAGCGTTGGTCGCAATTATCTTCTAGTTTGTCAATTTGATGTATCATGTCTGCCACAGGGACCAAGCCATTTTCTTGAGCAACCTTTCACATGCAAGTTTATTTCTGTTTATGACCAGATACAAACGTTTCAATGATGTTATGGTTTTCAAAAGCGAAATACAAACTGCTTAATTATATTGTTATATAAACGTTGGGATATATGTAACTATTAAAATGTTGAAAAGCATGTATTAGCGATGATTCCATCAAAAGACATTATTTGTTAACTGCAGGTGAAGTGCGTCGCGTACTGGTCTGACTCAACAGACATGAACACTGGTGACTTCATCATCTCTGTGACCGACTCCAGTATGCGAGCTAACTGGGTGGTCAGAGAACTGCATGTCACAGACAGACAGGTACGACATCCATTCATTTGACATAGATGTAAGCAGTAAATATATTGACAGAAATAAACACGGAAACACAGAAGTATATAAGTGTTCCTTAATTCGTGTCCAGGTTTTTTTCACAAACATTGTATTTGACTGTAATTGATCTGTTACATCAAAGTATTCGAATATGTATGGTTCATAAACTCAGCTTCGTAGTCAGCCCTGTCACTATTCACTCAATGAAGCACAAAGCTCAGATGGTTGTGTTTTTGCACAACTTCAGACAAACACAAGACGATGTTTCAATCAGTTCCACTTCACAACATGGCCGGATCATGGAACTCCCGAGGAGATGGCCTTGACTGAGTTTCTGTGGCTGGTCAGGACATCACGTACCACACAGGATGACCCGCTACTGGTTCACTGCAGGTAGATGCTCTGCCAACATATTTACATGTATATTGAAAACAATGTTCCTTGTTAAACCCAATTAGAACGTATGGACATCGTCATGTCTGATACTGGTACTAGACACACGAGTAGTAGTATTGGTTTCTTAGCTTACACGGAATTTTATTGGCTATGTTTACAGACAGTTAACTGTAGAGGCTTTGCCAGAAGATACAAATGAGTTTTGTTATATAACGACACATTATTTGTTTCATGTTTCAAGTAGTGAACTAATTGATTGTATTAGTATTTTTTAAATGGTTTGCGAATTAAACATGACATTGGTTCAACATTCAGTGCTGGGATCGGCCGGACAGGAACCTACATCGCCCTGGACTACTTGCTGGACCAGGCTGTGGCTGAAGATGCGGTGGATGTGTTTGGTTGTGTCTCGGGGATGAGAGACCAGAGGAAGGGCATGATACAGACCAAGGTGGGAAAGTGAAATAATTAGAAACTAAAACCGAAACCTACACATTGTTGTTTCCTGATATATAAATGCACTCCAAGTAGCCCAATCTGATCAGTGTTTCATTCTCCACTTCACAACCATGATTTCCAATGACTGTTTTGAATGTGTTTTGCTTTAAGAGCAGTACACGTGTGTTAAAAGTAATTACCACGTTCAACTATTGAATGTTGTATTGCATCAGGAGCAATACACAAATTCCTAACCATCTTCTACTATTGAATGTTTTATTGCATTAGGAACAGTATGTACGTGTGTTAAACGTCATAACCATGTTCAACTTCTGAATGTTTTATTGCACTAGGAGCCGTACACGTGTGTTAAAAGTCATAACCATGTTCAACTACTGAATATTTTATTGCATATGGAGCCGTACACGTGTGTTAAAACCCATAACCATGTTCAACTATTGAATGTTTTATTGCATATGGAGCCGTACACGTGTGTTAAAAGTCATAACCATGTTCAACTATTGAATATTTTATTGCATAAGAAGCCGTACACGTGTGTTAAAAGTCATAACCATGTTCAACTATTGAATGTTTTATCGCATATGGAGCCGTACACGTGTGTTAAAAGTCATAACCATGTTCAACTTCTGAATGTTTTATTGCATAAGGAGCCGTACACGTGTGTTAAAAGTCATAACCATGTTCAACTACTGAATGTTTTATTGCATAAGGAGCCGTACACGTGTGTTAAAAGTCATAACCATGTTCAACTACTGAATGTTTTATTGCATAAGGAGCCGTACACGTGTGTTAAACGTCATAACCATGTTCAACTATTGAATGTTTTCTTGCATAAGGAGCCGTACACGTGTGTTAAAAACCATAACCATGTTCAACTACTGAATGTTTTATTGCATATGAAGCCGTACACGTGTGTTAAAAGTCATAACCATGTTCAACTACTGAATGTTTTATTGCATATGGAGCCGTACACGTGTGTTAAAAACTATAACCATGTTCAACTACTGAATATTTTATTGCATATGGAGCCGTACACGTGTGTTAAAAACCATAACCATGTTCAACTACTGAATGTTTTATTGCATAAGGAGCCGCACACGTGTGTTAAAAACCATAACCGCTTTCACCTATTGAATGTGTTATTGTATTAGGAGCAGTACACGTGTCTGTATACGGCCCTGCATGAAACACTCCAGGTTGGCAATACCGCCATCAGCCTCGAAGAATTCAGGAGCAACCGAAATGTGAAAGGGACGTTCTCCACAGGTCGGATGTCAATCACCAGGTTCATAGAGGTAGCTGCTTTGTCATAACACAACTCTGATCATATATATTTGCTTTCGGTAAAGTTATATTAATATCTGTGATCTCCAGTATTTTTACTGTCCATCGTCGACAGGTTTTAATCTTCCAAATGTTTTCACTTTTTATTTTATAAATTGTTTTTCGTCACGATATGGCTGGAGATATTGCCGATGTGACGTTAATATTTACTCACTCACTCACTCACTTTCGGTAAAGTAACAATGAAAACTGTGGCTTGACAACACCTTCAAATGTTCAAGATATGTTTTTTGTCGTTGTAGACCCTGAACACCCAACGAAAGGAGCAGTCCAACGGTGAGCATGATTGAAATGCGGACGCTAACTTGTTTCGGTGTCTTTCGGATGCCCTGACATGTTTTGTATTCTTCTCGTATTTCTGGCAAGAGATCAATCATCTCACCTGGTACATACATCTAGTATACAACTGAATATATTGTATCAGTAAATCAACAAATGTAGAACCCTGCTATAGTTATTGAAATGTTATATCATTATCAATTCGTCGAAATGATTTCAAAGTCAGGCGAGGAAAAACGTCATTCAATTCCTGTTTCAGAAACAAGCGTGAAAGGTCAGGTGTGGATAAATGGACGCTCAGACATCCTGTCTATCCGCCTGCGGGTACAGATTTTTATTTGTTACATTTGGGACCTGTGAAACATCTGTAAACAGCGGCGGTTTTTTAATTAGATTGTATTTGTTACATGGTGGGGCAAAGAAAAGTAACATTAAAGTCAATTTAGTACATTTTGAAAGTTTAATTTTCGATTTCTAAGTCCTGAACATTGTTCGTGGTAACTGTCAGTAGATGCTACCTTCTTGATGTAAAACAGCATGGCAATCCATGTAGAAAGAGAATAACACTTTTAATCATCTTCACTTCAGTCCTACCTCTCCATGAACGGCTACCTGTAAACTGGTTAATGATAGGAACATCATTATGTGTCTCTATACATAGTCCTAATCTGGTATTTATTAATCTTCAGTCCCACCTGTCCATGAATGGCTACCTGTTAACTGAGGCCCCCTCCGTCACCACGGCGTCTCTGTTCTGGAAACTCACAGAGGAACAGGAGTCTTCCACCGTCATTGTCCTGCCAGACTCGCACCAGGTGGGTTATGCTGCTCACATTGTCACACTGTTACGTGTTGACTCCTAAGTTGAAACAATAAGTTTACTGGTATTCTTTCCTTAAAAAAAATTGACAACAACCAACAAAGAAATGCCATATCATTTCAGTGTACAAATCTCTGCAAATTATAACAATGTAATTCCAATGGGTGTACAGAATAGAGTGGCAATATAAATTATATGGCAATGTATACTCATGGAAGGGAAATAGGAAACTGAAACTGTACCTGAAAGTACAAGCGTTCCTCTATTCTTTTCCAGACTTTCACCCACAGTGCAATACAAAGCTTGAGAAAAAAACCTAGTAAAGAATAAAGGAACACTTGTACTTTCAGGTGTTCCCTTATTCGTTTCCATGAGTGTAATATAAAAGCAGTAACTATAGCATGGATAGGATCACCTCCCTGTAACAATGGTCAATCTGCCAAAATATGTAAAGTGCAAAGTGATCTCCATACAACTGATCGTCTTTTGTAATTTTGTTAATTAATTGTTCTCGTCACGATATGGCTGAAATAGTGCCGATGTGACAATAAATATTAACTCACTTACTCACACTTTGTAATTTTGTAATGTTAGATGACGGAAGCACGAATTAGTGTATAAAAAGTGCTTCCAGAACTTTCTCTAACTCTATTGTTCAGATCACGCTGGAATAACCAGGAATCATTGTAATACAAATACATCCTTGTTCCACAATGAATAACACCACCACATAACCACATACTCTAATTCCATCCAAACTGACTCTTTATGTTTCAGAGTCTGTCCAGTTTTGTTCCATCCCCAGGAGACAGCCTAGATCTGGACCCTGTGACTGTCAGATGTTCCACTGAGATTCCCGTCAACACTGACATCACCCTCCTGAACATCCACAGACAGATGGAGGTACGCCCACAATGCATGGCTGAACTCTTATATAAACGATGTAGTTTTCAGGTTTGAAGCACACAATCATTAGATCAGTTTGACTGCATCTTATGTCCGCTGGGGGTATTAGGCTCATAACTTACATATTCGTTTGCTAACAGAACTCTCAACCAACACATGTGCGGGTGTACATCTTGAACAATTTACCTGCTCAATCCCCTTCGGCTTTCTTGGAACTTCTGGAAGAACTGGACCGCCACGCAGGAGACGTCAATCCCAACACTGTCACTGTTATGTACAGGTAAGGAAAGTACACAAAACAAGGAATCAACATCAAGTATGACACAGGTGTTTGTGAATCACTATCAGAAAGTGATGATACGAAGTGTTCGCATCAAGATGAGCGTTTCCTGTCCCACTCGTCACAAACACACGCACAGGCGAGACTGCTGTTCACCATGAGAACGACAACTTATTGTATAAGTGAAAATAGAGAAATCGCATCGAAAATACTTTTGGTCACTGGTGCATTAATCAAAGAATTTGAAATATATCATCAGAGCCATAATCACCGACAAGTGTTGTGAGATTACTGAGTGTATCGCGCTACAAACCGTCACGATTTGCCTGGTCCACCATGTCACTAAAGCTGCAACATTCCGACGTGAGTCACGCATTATTATGATGTTGCTTAAAGAAACAAATATTCATGTCATCGATTTCACCCGCTCTAACTTGGGCTCTCCATGTTTGTTACAGCGATGGCGGCAGGCAGAACGGAGCAATGTTATGCATCCTGAGCAATATTGTCCAAGGCCTGAAGTATGACAAACGAGCTGAGATCTACAACAACATGAGAGCTGTGGGCCACTGTCTGGATCAGGACATCACACAGGTAGTGTCTTGCAGGTTTCTTCTATTATCGTACCTATAGTAGGTATGTATCAGTGTTTACACACGTGTTGGCTCAATAAAGATGAAACGCGTGGAACTAATTACTGAATTTTACTCATCCACGGAAGCAGTCACTTTTCGCGAAACCTGGTTTCAACATTTACAGCCACACCTGGATGAAGTCAGAATGTACAGTAGATACATAATGCCTTCAAGAAAGTTGTCATAAGTGACAGATGCTATTTTGGGAATAACGCAGTACTGCGAAGTGTGTTTTGCCATCGAGTTCTTTGACCGTAGAAAGGATTGGTCACTTTATGCATTAACCTACTTACGTAAAAGTGTCTCAAGCCGCTATGGGATATTTTTCCTTCTGAAATACCTGAATATTTTCTGTTCAGACAATTTCATATTCCCACTCACTGTAAACATAACAGTTTACAACACATTTCAGGCTGACGTTGCCCTGTGTTACGACGTGGCCGCAACTTACCTGGAGTCCCAGAACATCTACGCCAACATGTGATCTCCAGCTCTATGCGCTGCTAGAGTGTACTGGTGGATTAGAAACATTCAAGCAATTGTATCTCTGTGTGACGTCTTTTCATGACAGAACAGTACAATGCTACCATGGGTTTCTTGACACAACCAGACATGATGCTAAACAATTTCTGCGGATATTTTTTAATGTATGCAATGTTTCGAGCTGAGCTAAGTGGCTTGGTAGGTGTTAATGTATATAAAGTTTATGATACCAGCCTTTGACTGTATTGACTTCACAAAGGAGAAAAATGTCAAAGCGTTTTTTAAAAGAAATTGAATTCATTGATTGAATTTGATGTACCTTCTGTTATTTTATAGATAGGTAGTACATGATTATTAAGTGCGATTTTTGGTGGCTGTTACCTTGATGGGGGTTGTAGAACCGTAAAATTATGGTCCCCGGGAGTGTATGTAAGTCCAGACCATTTACAGCATATTCATTTCTAACACCGTTTTTAACGGCAAAAACAGTGGAATAATTTATGAAACGTCAAACATTCGGGACAATCTCTTGCAGCTGAAGGGGTGGTATGGTACAAATCCTGGGGGGGAATGGTACATGAAGCAGAAGTATTTTAAGTCGCCACGGCCCCGGGTTGGTGGCCTAACTTTGATTGCTGGTTATCTCTGCCTCTTTGATCTTATATCGTTAATTTATAGTTTAGTATTTTAAATGCTTTTTGAATTAGTTTGTTTTACAGTTCTTGGACAACAGGACTTGATAGTTTATAAATATTTTTTTATTTATATGGCTGGAATATTGCCGATCTGACGTAAAATGTTAACTCACTGGCTCACTCACTCATCCAGAAGTTGGGGTCTCCTACTACAAAACTAGACTGGAACAAGGTGCGGGGCGTTCTACAAAGGCTTTACAATGGATGCAACCGGTCGATAACATCCGTATACATCTGCTTATTTTGAGGGTCGGGGGAATGGATGACCTTATCATTTTCAAAAACTATAATGCATGCAACAATAGTGAGTGAGTGAGTTAAAATTTATAGTCACTTTGGCAATATTTCAGCAATACCGTGGCCTAAAAGGGTCATCATGCAACAATGAGACAAACATGCTTAATCATACGCTGTCATAGAATATGAGAGTTAATCACAAGTGGAACGTCAATAAAACATATGCTTGTAGGTACAATATCATAGACCAGGACAAAATATTTGTTTTAGTGTTATCAATGCCTTTTAGTCAATATGTTAACGATTAAAGTAACTATGATTAGTTTTGCCACAGTTTCATAGATGGGTTTTCTGGTGGGTAATATCTTTGTCATGCTTGGGGACAGAAACACACCTTACCACCCGGTGTCCCCGTGTCACATGCTGATTTCTCCTGTATGGTGCTGGTAGTTGAACTCTTGTACAGTACAACCAGAAATTATTGAGAATGTAAAGATTGTACCAAAAAAAATTCACTCATTACTCACGTATTGAATGTGACTATTAGCAGAACATAACTCCAGATTCAAGGGCAGGTGAACAGTTAGGATTTTGCCAAGTCACCATGGGCAGCAATGCAGGCTTCAATGCCATGGGGCAAACTACTGATCAAAGAAGTTAGAAAGCCGTGGTCCATGCTGACCCAATATCGGACCACCTCTTCTTTCATTTCAGCAATATTTGTCAGATTTTTCTTATTGACACTTTCCTTCATAAGTCCCCGAACATTTTCTATTGGATTTAGGTCAGGGCTATAGCTTGGCCAATCTAATAATGTCATATTTTGGGTCCGAAACCAAAAATTTCAATAGAGCACATGAGCAGATGGAAGCAAATGTCCCTCAAGAATATCTGTGTACCGCTCACTGTTTATATTCCCTTCAAATACACAGAGGGGCGTTGCCCCTAACACAGATATTCCACCCCACACGTTAAATTTCGGACTGTACTTTGGGCACTGATACAAGGGTTTTTCAGTTTGTTTGGTCCAGAATTTCAGTGTAGTAGGAAACAGCCACACAGAATTTTCATCTGAGAAAATCACATTGTCCCAGTTAAAATTTCTATGCTGTAAGCACCAGTTCAACCTTCGCTCCTTTTGTTCAGGTTTCATGATCGGTGATGGAATTCCTCGACTTTTCTGCCAACCCATTGCATGCAGCTCAGTTCTAATTATCTCCTTACAGACAGTCACAGTTCCTCTATCAATCATATCGAGGCTTAAGTGTTCTAAACTCCTTCGTTTGTTTTTAGAGACAAGAATACCAAGCTCCCTCCTGTCACCGACAGTCAATTTTCTGGGCCTACCTACGCCTCCCTGGTGTTCAATGCCATATCCATTTGCAATATTTTTCAAAACACGATAAACAGTGGACAAAGGGATGCCTGTTCTACTTGAAATCACTTTAGCTGATCTGATACTCATCCATACTGAGGATCACTGAAAATGTCATCTGCTAGCAAGTAAACAAAGGGGGATAACTCTTCACAAACTAATGAAAAAGGATTAACGGAGTTGTCTTTCTTGAATGAAACCATGCACTTGATAGCTGGTCAAGGTTGTTTATATTAGAAATCCAATTAAACACATTCCTAAAATTCTCAATAATTTCTGGTCATACTATACATTCCATGTACATATAGTTGGAACAATTAACTCTACATCAGTACTGAGTTCGTATAATGTGTTTTTGTATTTCTTTAGAGAGTTCAATCGTACAACTAACCTCAATTTGCGGTATAACCCATCTTTTTGCAATCTCGTCTATTTCTATCTATTTCTAGTTCGTTTTGTTGATTTTGCCAACACATTTTCCTTTATTTCCCTAATTATTACTGCAACTCTCATTGCATGCTTTTTCAACAATATACAACTTTTGTGCCAGTGTTATGTTATATTCAACTAAATAGATGAGTGGATCTCTGAAAATGCGAGACGATGTTATAATTACACAGTGTACAATGTGGTTGTTTGTTTGATATAGTTTCAAAATGTTTCCCAAGCTGAGTGCTCCTTTTCACAACTATTTTACTACGCTCGATGAAACCTGGACGATTTGTATTCTGACCTTGCTGGTTTGTCATTGTATGTTATACTGCTCAGAATGTACCGCCGGCATACAATACGTGTGATTATGTAAGTTTTAATTTAATAAACATTATTTTTGCGTTTGTGTTTGCGTATTTTCTGAAACATTGTTCGTGGGTGTTCGACGAGTTTCAAAATGATTAGTGTGATATAAAAGTCTTTGAATGGCATTTAGAAATGCTAAACGTGAAAATTTATAGATTTATAAAATAATCGCTACTTATACACTTTCCGATATCGATGTTTTCCATATTTTAGGTGAAGCAATAGTACAATTGCCCTAACTTCCGGAGGGTTGTTCCTTCCCGAAAGCCACTAGCCAAATGATCAGGCAGAGTGAGTGAGTGAGTGAGTTATTAATAAGTCACATCGGCAATATTTCAGCCATATCGTGACGAGAACATATGTAACATTGAAAGGGAACATGTGTTTCTTATAAAAACCTGTCGACGAAGGACAGTAAAACAACTACAATATCACAATTACAACTAAAAGTTAAAACTGATAGCACTATTTGGACAACGCAATATAAAAACGGGCTATAGATCGCCAACAACTGCTTCTGAAGGTAGATCATCATACTAGGGACTATGGGGACTTACAGTACCTTTGCTACCTGTATAGTCCGATCAGGCAGAGAGCGTGGTGGCGTGAAATGCATGTTTTTAATTGCACGTTATTAAGCCAATGAGAATGCTTCTATATGGCTTATGGAAAGTTTAGACAAATGAAAACATGTATATTACATGAACGTTAGTTAGGCGTTGAGGCTTAAACTGAGTTGGCCACTGATGATATCAGCTACATCATGTAAGCGTGGTCTTTATGATAAATCCATCGTCACATATCAACTACCACCACAATTATGACAATTAATACCGAAAGTTTTGAGAAACGTGTACAATACAAAATATTTGAAGAAACAATTGACATTAGTAGACTTTTCAAGATATATTTTTGCAAGAGGCAAAGGCAATCTCATTACGTTTCAGGTTGCAGCTGTGAAAATTTATTAGAGTGAGTGAGTGAGTTAAAATTTAACATCGCATCGGTAATATTACAGCCATTCCCAGAAATTTTGACTGAAACTTTTAAACGTTGCATAACGTAGAATATTGATCTTCAGTAACCCATGCTTGTAAGAGGCGACTAACGGGATCGGATTGTCAGGCTCGCTGACATGGTTGACACATGTCATCGGTTCCCAATTGCTCAGATCGATGCTCTTGCTGTTGATCACTGGATCGTCTAGTCCAGAGTACATTTCACATCAACATAAGTTTGAATGGGTATTTTCCGACAACTTGAAGGCTGACGTTGCACTCGCCTGTGTGAACCTTGAGATGGACATGGACAGGAAAATATCTGTAAACGGCTCTTCGAGTAGTTGGAGTTAATTGAGAATTGAAGGAAACGCGGCCTATCATGTGTAAAATCGGTAGTATTCAGTGTCCCCTTCGATAACAGCAACACAGACACATGCATGCTCGCGCGCACACGCACCGTTTCAGGTAGTTCATTTACATGTATGTGATTACATTTAAAATAATACTGAAGACCCACCCATGTGTTATATTCATATTATTATGAGAAAAAAATTATGCAAATGATCGTTAAGTTAGAAAATCAAATGTTAATCTTTAGAAGGACGAAGCATGAGAGATGGGACGTCTGGAGGTCACCACTTGAGAGCTCTCCTTAGGCCCACTTCGTATCATGAGATTGCATGCCAAGTGCAACAAGTGGGAGAGTATAAACTTTGCCAGGCCAGCACAGGGTCCACCCTGGTGTTTGTGTTAATATTGTACGCTGTTTGCTACTTTCCTCCCACTAATAATGGCTGTGTGGTGCTGTGCGGTGTTGCTAACAATGTGTGTCCGTCTTTCAGCAGGTGAGCCTAATGTGTTTCTATCCAGTGGTATTCTCTTAGACAATATGTTACAACAGCATTTATCTGAGACCATATGTTACAACAACATTTATCTTAGACCATATGTTACAACAGCATTTATCTGAGACCATATGTTACAACAGCATTTATCTGAGACCATATTTAGTAACAGGATTTATCTGAGACCATATGTTACAACAGCATCTCTCTTAGACCATATGTTACAACAGCATTTATCTTAGACCATATGTTACAACAGCATTTATCTTAGACTATATGTTACAACAACATTTATCTTAGACCATATGCTACAACTACATTTATCTTAGACTATATGTTACAATAGCATTTATCTGAGACTATATGTTACAACAGCATTTATCTGAGACCATACGTTACAACAGCATTTATCTTAGACTATATGTTACAACAGCATTTATCTTAGACCATATGTTACAACAGCATTTATCTGAGACCATATGTTACAACAGCATTTATCTGAGACCATATTTAGTAACAGGATTTATCTGAGACCATATGTTACAACAGCATCTCTCTTAGACCATATGTTACAACAGCATTTATCTTAGACCATATGTTACAACAGCATTTATCTTAGACTATATGTTACAACAACATTTATCTTAGACCATATGCTACAACTACATTTATCTTAGACTATATGTTACAATAGCATTTATCTGAGACTATATGTTACAACAGCATTTATCTGAGACCATACGTTACAACAGCATTTATCTTAGACTATATGTTACAACAGCATTTATCTTAGACCATATGTTACAACAGCATTTATCTTAGACTATATGTTACAACAACATTTATCTTTGACTATATGTTACAACAGCATCTCTCTTAGACCATATGTTACAACAGCATCTCTCTTAGACCATAATATGTTACACAACATTTATCTTTGACTATATGTTACAACAGCATCTCTCTTAGACCATATGTTACAACAGCATCTCTCTTAGACCATAATATGTTACACAACATTTATGTTTGACTATATGTTACAACAGCATCTCTCTTAGACCATATGTTACAACAGCATCTCTCTTAGACCATAATATGTTACACAACATTTATCTTTGACTATATGTTACAACAGCATCTCTCTTAGACCATAATATGTTACAACAACATTTATCTTTGACTATATGTTACAACAGCATCTCTCTTAGACTATATGTTACAACAACATTTATCTTTGACTATATGTTACAACAGCATCTCTCTTAGACCATAATATGTTACACAACATTTATCTTTGACTATATGTTACAACAGCATCTCTCTTAGACTATATGTTACAACAACATTTATCTTTGACTATATGTTACAACAGCATCTCTCTTAGACCATATGTTACAACAACATTTATCTTTGACTATATGTTACAACAGCATCTCTCTTAGACTATATGTTACAACAACATTTATCTTTGACTATATGTTACAACAGCATCTCTCTTAGACCATATGTTACAACAGCATCTCTCGTAGGCCATATGTTACAACAACATTTATCTTTGACTATATGTTGCAACAGCATCTCTCTTAGACTATATGTTACAACAACATTTATCTTTGACTATATGTTACAACAACATTTACGACCACATCAGTACGGAAGAATCTTCTATGTTACTATATGTCCACGTTAACAGATAGACCGTATAACCACACTCAACCTTTATCCTTGAGTGTGGTACCTTTTGGTCTTCCAGAAAGGTACCACATGGGATATTTCCTTGTATTTACTTTGAGATAGGGTATGCATTGTAACTGCGATACTTGTAACTGTACTTTTCAATAGCGCTTCATTACTAACCATCACTTGCCCTGATGGTCAAGGAGTCATCACGGATTGTTCCTTTTGCATGATAGTACCACCGTGCTTATGTTCTCTCTCAACACAGAATCCTGCTCATCTTGTAACTTTACCAAAACCTTACGTCCCACGATATCACCTGCCTACAACCAGAAAGCCTAGTTCTATTACAACAATTTCTTTAAGAAACCACTTTAATACTATTGCTGCCAAGTCAAGTCGGGATTCCATGATAATCATTTTAACACAATTGCAAAAGTTATCGCTAATGAACAAAATGATTAATTCAGTCTTAAACGTATGGGTATAAGTCTTAAGGGGAATGAGGTTAACTTTCAAAGATTGTTGGATTAATGCAATATCGTCATTGATATATCTAAGTTCCATCATTCCTCTAGTGGCTGCAGTGACCAGTCTTAACCACAGCTGTAATTGTTTAAATGTTCTTCAAGATCAGGGCGTTAACTGTCACTATCACCATTCTTAAAGCTACTATTTCAGTTAAATCTACCCCATCCCCTCATTCGAATATCATAGTCCACCACCCAGCAATCACTATACTACCCTAAATACCATTTTTGGCCACATTACAATATTTATTACCATATAATTCGTAATATTTGTATTATTGTATATAGATTATTTGCCAATAAATCACACCATACTCTCATTTTGTTAGATTACTGTCCTTCGCTGACAGTTTCTTTTAGAATTTACCATTATTTATTGTAAAATTATAACTTGTTTATAGTCACGATATGGCTGAAATATTGCCAATGTGACTTAAAATATTAACTCACTCACTCACTCATTTTGTTAGAACTTACTACCGGCTCCCTGTGTAAAGTAATGTAAATAATGTCACTACCTATATGTTCGTCATACAGGGACCTTTGCCTACATTCAGTTGTCAAAAAAGCTACTTCTCAGTGTTACCTGGCCGAATTTTCGAATCTCAAATAACTTACCCAGCAATCATTTAACATTCCCCAGGCGTGTTGGGTAACGCTAAGCGCCCTTCAACCCCTCGTTGTGGACCCGGGGGTATATTTGGTCCACCAACCCGTTTGCCGTGGGTTGCGCCCCTGTGTCGGTGGAGGACGGGAGTTTGGTGGTTGAGAGCACTGGTTCCAGGAACAGCGTTCCTTTGCCCAACATACCACTTCGACCCTTACTTCACCTAGACGGGTGGTAGAACTGGCCCGGTTCTATCAATTGGCTGGTCACGCCAAGCCCTGTGCATTGATTATATGTAATTGCACAAAATTTGATTTGGAATTGTTGAATTTTGGTCTTGGCACCCTTTGTTCATTTACACTAATTGATTTTGTAATATGTTTTTCATGAACTTTGCCTAGAGTCTTAATGCCCAGAAGGCGGTGGCTCATGGGCCAATCTGGTGGGATTTATCTTTTCAAGATATTTTCTGCTTGAGTATACCCTCCTAGTATCCTTGCTGTTGTCTGCTGGAGATCCACAGACATGAGGCATCGTCCTTGTTGACACACCATGGTGGGTGAGGAGCTAGGAGGGTGAATCATATATTTTTTCTACCATGGCACCCCCACTTAAAAAAAGTTCACACGAATCTGATGATTCGTTTTCTTCTGATGATGAAGCGCACACAACTGTCAATAACCCTGATAATAGCCCTCATTTCATTGTGATGTGTGCCCCTGACGGTGGCCCTCTCAATTTAAATCCCTTTGCGGTGTCAAAGGGCATTGAAGGTTTGGCTGGGGAAAGACATCAAAAAGCTACGATCTGGTTCCCTGCTAATCGAATGCAGGAAAGAAATAGAGTCTAAAATTCTGCTCAAAACAAAGTCTTTAGCAAATGTTCCTGTGGAGGTGTCCCTTCACAGGACATTAAATACCAGCAAAGGCATCGTCCGTGATATTGAACGTTGCCTGTCTGACATGACTGAAACTGACATCGTTACTGAACTGCAATCCCAAGGCGTTACTCACGTCAAACGATTTACAGTAAAACTTACCTGTTCACATTTTGTTCACAATTTGTCTCGATGCATCCAAAATCTCTGAAAGCAGGATATTGCAACTTAAGGGTTGATACTTTTATTCCAACCCCTTAAGGTGTTATAATTGCCAAAAGTATGGTCACGGGTCAAAGTCTTGCCACAATCCAGCTGCATGCCAACGATGTGCTGGAGCGTGCCAAGACAGTACCCTTTGTGATAAAACACCTGAATGTGTCAATTTCTCTGGCTGCCATCCTTCCTCATCGAAGGAATTACCTTCCCGGAAGTTACAATCAAAGATTTCACGAGTGAAGCATGAGCAAAATGTTTCGTTCTTTGAAGCAAAACAGATTGTTCAAGAACAGTCAGGCCCGAGTTATGCTACCGTTGTTTCTGCTTCTGTTCAGGCCTCTAAACCAAAGTACGTTTCATGCAGTTCAGTCGTTTGTCAAACGGATTATACGTGGGCTAGAACATCAGCTCCCACATTGCTGGCTGATGAAATTCAGGCAAAACTCCAAAAGTAACTTCCAGTGTACAAACCATTGTTCAGACCATTGCATCTTCTGAAAAGGATTCATCTGCTTCTCAGAAACAAGCATCTAAATCAGACTCAAATGTGAAATCAAGTGTGAAAACTACATCCAGACCGAGCAATGAAATCAATAAGAAAAATCAAAGCAACAGACCTCCGAAGGGGTCAAATGACCAGGTCCAACTATATAATAAGTTTGGATCACTTGAGGCCATGGATGTCTCCGACCATAGCCAAGGTCGGATTCATAGCTTGTCACCCTCTAGGAAGGTGAGGGCTACATCTCCTGTACATCCGCCGAAGAAATAATGTCTTCAGCTATTATTTAATGGAAATGAAGAGGACTCCTTAAACGATTTACAGTTATTAAACCAAGATTTTAAACCGTCAGCGTTTTGCATCCAAGAAACCTGTCTGAAACAGGCAGATAACTTTGACTTCCGTCAGTTCAATGCATATCATTGTTTTTCTCCTCCGGGTGAAAGAGCTTCTGGTGGATCATCCATCCTGGTGAGGAACAATGTTATCCATAGCTCAGTTCCACTTAAAACAAATCTTCAAGTCGTTGCAGTTCGACTTACATTACAGGCTGCTTTAACTTTATGCTCTTTGTACATTCCGCCTTCA